GCCGATGTGAGGAAATTCTCTGCTTATGATATTCTGTTGATCTACAAAAATTTCTACAAGTCATGCATTTGCGATTTCAAAGTGCTATCTGTTTCAGTTCAGAAATATCAAAGTAGTTTTTCCATACGAATCAAATCACCAAAATTCAATACAGTATTGTATTTTGTTATGATAGTGAAACTGAACAAAGTTATAAATTACCAGTTTCCCCTTCAGATGATGCTTACAATAGTAGACGTAAGATTATTCCGTGTAATTTCATCCAATATTTTGATCATTTACAAATTTAATTAAACAAATTTGCCAAGCGAAAAAGTTCATTCAAGGTCAAAATGGCATACAACCAGTAACTGATTACATTCAAAAAACCTTCCAGGCTGTTTTTTTTTGTTGTACCAGACTTCGTATTTTCCTTTTTTATTGATATAAGAGATATATACATTTTTCAATAGCATTATTCCTTCAACCATTAACTATCGTCTTTGATGAATAATACTCATCGAAAAACACTGCTATAGCAAAAAGAGTAATTTAGTATTAGCATCGTCCGAATTACCAACACAGTACTATTGGTCACTGATAAACTTAGCAATATACATCCTAATTATTCATATCATTTTGGTCATTCCTTCAACACATCCAAAAATGTGCTGAAATTTACCTATAAATCACGATAAAATGTACAGTATACCTTCAATTTTCCATTTTAATTTCTATCTTTGTTATAAAAGAATTTCAGAAAATGTATGAATTTTCTTTCGAATTACAAAAATTAAATTTGCCTTTTGATATCTGACTGTTGCCGTTAATGAAAAAGCCATATTCAATAAGCAATTGAATGAATATTGCTGCTCGTAATTTGCTTACTGCTAAGAACTATCTTTGTTAGGCGCAAATGAATTAAGAGTATATGAAGCTGAGGAAAACCTCAAAATGAAATTAATTCAGGAAACATACCAAGTAATACATAGCAATTAGCTATAATCATTGGTACTCTTGAATTTATAAGGTGACAATAGAACAAAGAACAATGTGGACAACAATAGAAAGGATCTCTTCAGAAATGTTATTTTATACGATTAGAAGAGGACGATAATGATTTATCTTTGAAATTAAAACAACATACCCCTCACTCGAAAAAAAAGTGCTAATATGAGATCATTTGAGTGATATGGAATCAAACAAAAAAGGAAAAAACAGGATAAAATGTTTCAAGTCCAGTATTCAAAGTACTATTGAATGGTGCATGATGAATAATAAATAATATCGTTTGAATTTCAGAGTATTTTAAGTATTGCAACAATGAAGTAATTAGGCATTTCAAATTATGAAATCCGATAAAAATACATTCTTATCAATGTGTTACAACGGTAATAAACGGTAACAATAGTAATTAATAATAATAGTAATAATATGATAATAATAATAATAATAATAATAATAATAATAATAATAATAATAATAATAATAATAATAATAATAATAATAATAATAATAATAATAATAATAATAATAATAATAATAATAATAATAATAATAATAATAATAATAATAATAATAATAATAATAATAATAATAATAATAATAATAATAATAATAATAATAATAATAATAATAATAATAATAATAATAATAATAATAATAATAA